TCTTACATTTAGATCTTTAATCCATTTTGAGTTTATTTTTGTGTATGGTGTTAGAAAGTGTTCTAGTTTCATTCTTTTACAAGTGGTTGACCAGTTTTCCCAGCACCACTGGTTAAAGAGGTTGTCTTTTTTCCATTATATATTCTTGCCTCCTTTGTTAAAGATAAGTTGTCCATAGGTACATGGGTTTATCTCTGGGCTTTCTATTCTGTTCCATTGATCTATATTTCTGTCTTTGTGCCAGTACCCAAATTTTGAACCAGTCTGTTGCTCCATGTCCAGTTATAACTGTTGCTTCTTAACCTGCATACAAATTTCTCAGGAGGAAGGTAATGTGGTCTGATATTCCTGTCTCTTTAAGAATTTTCCACAATTTGTTGTGATACACACAGTCAAAGGCTTTAGCATAGTCAGTAAAGCAGAAGTAGATGTTTTCTGGAATCCTCTTGCTTTTTCTTTGCGTCTGTGTGTTTTATTTATTTATTTATTTATTTTATTTTAATTGGGGGCTAACTACTTTGCAATATTTTGATGCCTTTTACCATAGTTTCACATGAATCAGCCATGGGTGTACATGTGTCCCCATCCTGCACCTCTCTCCCACCTCCCTCCCCATCCCATCCCTCAGGGTCACCCCAGTGTACCAGCGCTGAGCGCCCTGTCTCATGCATCAAACCTGGACTGGTAATCTAGTTCACATATGATAATATACATGTTTCAATGCTAATCTCTCAAATCATCGCACCCTTGCCTTCTCCCACAGAGTCCAAAAGTCTGTTCTTTATATCTGTGTCTCTTTTGCTGTCTCGCATATAGGGTCATCATTACCATCTTTCTAAGTTCCATATATGTGTGTTAATATACTGTATTGGTGTTTTTCTTTCTTACTTCACTCTGTATAATAGGCTCCAGTTTCATCCACCTTATTAGAACTGATCCAAATGAATTCTTTTTAATGGCTGAGTAATATTCCACTGTGTATTTGTACCACAGCTTTCTTATTTTTATTTTTTTAGGGTAAAAAAAGTTTTAATTAATACATTTAGCACAATTCTCTTTATAAAACATACTTATTTTAACACCCTGAGCAAAAGCCCTGTCATTTCATTTCCAAAGACAAATCATTTCAGTGCTCTTCCTTGAAGTGCCAGCATTTTCTTCCTCTGGTCTCAGAGAAGGGCATGGGATGCATGCTTCAAGTCGTCAAGATAAAAGTCCAGGAGGGAGAAGTCCTGTTGCAGTGGGTAGCTGTTTTCATCTAACACAAAGAGGCTCTGCACCTTCAGGACACAAGGTGCCCTGCTGCCCGCCAGCAAGGCATGGAGCAGGTCGGCAGCGACCATTCTGTAGGTGACATCAGAGGGGGGCGCTGAGGAAGAGGAAACACGAGAGCTCTTAGTGTCCCTTCCGAGGGAATGGAAATGCTCACATCTAAAGTGTTCATTGTTTCCCTTGGTTTCTTAAGTCCCAAAGCCACTGTAAATATCTCTATCCTTGCTCTTTCTAGCCATAGGTTACTCCATAATGATGAGGTGCAATTCCTGCTGCTCTGAAGAGAAAGCACAAGTTCAGACTGATGGTGTTTCCTATTATGGCACAGCCACTGGCTTCATAAAACAATACAGGAAAGAACTGAGATTAATCTTTTCCTAAATTAAGCTTGAAACAAAACGGGCATGTCCATATCAGAAAAGAACTCTTTATGTTAATCTAGTCTATAGCTCTTATCATGGTTATATATACACATACCATTTGTATAACAGAACCCTGAGTCAGTTACTTAATGAATATCAAAATCTTTTTAAAATATTTATTTCTTTGTTTGTGCCAGGTCTTAGTTGTGGCAGGCAGGATCTTCGATCTTCATTGCAGGACCTTTGGTCATGGCTGTGGGATCCAGTTCCCTGACCAGGGACNGAGGGTGGCCTGATTTCTCTTCAGAGGTCCAACTTCTCTTACCAGAACTTTTGTGGAAGGTATTTAGTTGAGAACACAGTATTCCTGAGTTACATGACTCAATGCATATCTCATTTGGTTGAAAGTTATCATCAAAATTGAAAAGTTCTTGAGATCCTATGTTTTCTTCAAGATCTTTATCAGCGTTTAAGAGAGTGTGGCAACTTTTTGTTTCAGGACAAACAGGACTAAAAAGTTCAACGGAACAGGCTTGGTTCTGTCCATCTTCATATCCTTCTGCAGAATCATCTTTGGACTGAATCAAATTATCCTCAGTTATTCTTATTTCCCCATAACTTGCTTCTGGTTCAATCTCCATGTTTATGGTCCCTTTATTTATAGAATTCTGCCCTTTATATTTCCTTTGAGCTAAAAAAGCAACCTGGCTGGAGGTCATTATACTAAGAAATTCAGCATCAGTGGATATTTTAAGTCCTTCAGGTCTAGGTTTGTCTACTGTGTTAGAGGGGAAGAACTCCAGACACTGGTTCTGTATTTCATGATGCTCTGTTGGTGCACGGTTTATTTTGATAGCTTCTGGAGTATTAGTCTGTTCAGTACCACAGACCACATCCAGTATAGCTGCACACTTATGATCTAAATGAAAGGAATTTTTTGGAATGTTCTGACCACATATGTTTGATTGATCATGCTGTTCGCTTGTGGTTTTCTTAAGTTCACTGGAAAGATTTTGATACTTCTCTTCTTCAGTAAAATGCTGAATTCCTCCCTTAAATCCACATATTTGCTCACTGGAGTTGGTTCTATCACTCATTCCCAAGAGGTAACTCTTCTGGGAATTTACAGTTTGTGTTTCAGAAATGCAACGTGTGGAGTCATCTTTCATGTAAACAGATCTGTTCATAGAGTTTGCTGGAGTATGACCATGAGGAAGATCTGGAAGACCCAGAGGTTCCAGGGCCTGACAGTCCTTGGGATTTTTGTGCCTGCATTTTTTATCCTTCAGGGATAAGGAATGGTGATTATACAAAACCTGAATTTCTTTCCAGGTCTCAGTAGTGGGTGCTAAAGAGGCTGGTTCCTGTGAGACTGTCATTTCCAGTGGACTGACTGGAGCACCCCAAAAAATGTGAACTTGAGATCCTCCACTCATAGTTTCTGGAGCCTGGAATATCTGGGTTTGAATCCCAACTCTTCACTTCCTAGCCTAGCCATGGGATTTTGAGCATGTCATTTTACCACTCTGGATGTCAGTCTTCTCATTCCTTCCATTGCTTCTCTATTAGTAACTTCTTGAATTCAGGTGAACAAAACTTAATCCTTTGACCAACAAGACAAATTCAGGACTCAGCCCAGAGAACAGTTATCACTTAGACTCCAGCTCTTCCCCGCAGATCCCAGCCCCATGCGGTCCTGTACCACAGCTTTCTTAACCATTAGTCTGCTGATGGACATCTAGGTTGCTTCCATGTCCTGGCTATTGTAAACAGTGCTGCAATGAACATTGGGGTACACGTGTCTGTTTCAATTCTGGTTTCCTTTGTGTATATACCCAGCAGTGGGATTGCTGAGTTGTATGGCAGCTCTATTTCCAGTTTTTAAAGGAATCTCCACACTGTTCTCCATACTGGCTATACTAGTTTGCATTTCCACCAACAGTGTAAGAGGGTTCCTTTTCTCCACACCCTCTCCAGAATTTATTGTTTGCATACTTCTGGATAGCAGCCATCCTGACTGGAGTGTAATGGTACCTCATTGTTTTGATTTGCATTTCTCTGATAATGAGTGATGTTGGGCATCTTTTCATGTGTTTGTTAGCCATCTGTATGTCTTCTTTGGAGAAATGTCTATTTAGTTCTTTGGCCCATTTTTTGATTGGGTCATTTATTTTTCTGGAATTGAGCTTCAGGAGTTGGTTGTATATCTTTGAGATTAATTACATGTCAGTTGCTTCATTTGCTATTATTTTCTCCCATTCTGAAGGCTGTCTTTTTGTTTTGCCTATAGTTTCCTTTGTTGTGCAAAAGCTTTTAAGTTTCATTAGGTCCCATTTGTTTATTTTTCCTTTTATTTCCATTACTCTGGGAGGTGCATCAGGGTCTCCAGATCTATGCATCAGGAGATGCATAGAGGATCCTGCTATGATTTACACCAGAGAGTGTTTTACCTATGTTTTACTAGAGGAATTTTAAGGTTTCTGGTCTTACATTTAGATCTTTAATCCATTTTGAGTTTATTTTTGTGTATGGTGTTAGTGTTCTAGTTTCATTCTTTGACAAGTGGTTGACCAGTTTTCCCAGCACCACTTGTTAAAGAGATTATCTTTTCTCCATTGTATATTCTTGCCCCCTTTGTCAAGATAAGGTGTCCATAGGTGCATGGATTTATCTCTGGGCTTTCTATTTTGTTCCATTGATCTATGTTTCTGTCTTTGTGCCAGTACCATACTGTCTTGATGACTGTAGCTTTGTAGTAAAGTCTGAAGTCAGGCAGGTTGATTCCTCCAGTTCCATTCTTCTTTCTCAAGATTGCTTTGGCTATTTGAGGTTTTTTGTATTTCCATACAAATTGTGAAATTATTTGTTCTAGTTCTCTGAAAAATACTGTTGGTAGCTTGATAGAGATTGCACTGAAATCTATGGATTGCTTTTACTTCAGAGAACTACAACCCCGCAGGCTGAATAAAGAAAATTACTGACTTTAAAAATCAGTATTTATATTAAATGTAAATAAAATACACAATCCAACCTAAATTACAGATGATTACATTAGATAAAAAACAAATCCAACCTATATCCTCCTTGTAAAAGATATATCTTAAATGTGAGAACATTAAAAACTGATGGTGAAATTATGGAAAAGGGACATAGTGAGTAAATTTTAGTCAAAGAAAGCCAATGTGACTGTACACACGTTAACTATGAACACACAAACAGATCAATCTACCTCTACCAAGAAGTTACCACAACTCTCAGTTTTATGCACCTAAAAATACAGTCTCAAGATAAATAAAAATTAACAATAATCCATGGATCAAAGTAGAAATTACAATGAAAATCAGAAAAATACTTGAACTTAATAAAAATGTGATGATATACCAAAATTTCTAGGAGAGTGATGTCAGAAACAGTGAAAAACTTCTATTCATCAAAACACAATACTAACAAGGTGAAACGGAAAGTCACAGAGCTGGATAAGGTATCTGCAATACACATAGCTGGCAAATGGCTTGAATCCAGAGTATATAAAAATCAGAATATGTGAAAATAAGAAGAGACAAAAAACGTAACAGAAGTAGATTAGCAGTTACCAGAGGCTAAAAAAGGGAAGAATGGGCAATTATTGTTTAATGATTACAGTTTCAGTTTGGGTGATGAAAAATTTTGGAAATAGATGGTGGTGATGGTTGTAAAACACTGTGAATGTAATTAATCCCAATAAGTTAGTTACAACTTTAACTTTTATATATATATGAAAAAAAACTAGGACTTTCCCGGCAGTCCAGTGGTTGAGACTCTGCCTTCCAAAGGAGCAGTGAGCATAGGCTCCACTTCTGGTTGGGGAACTAAGTTTCACAGGTAGAGAGGTGGGTGAGACCAAATATTAAAAATAATAATAATAGAAAAACAGTCAAAAGACCTGAACAGGAACTTCACAAAAGAGATCCTTATGACAAACATAAAAAAAGCACTCAACCTAACTAGCCATCAGATAAATGAAACTTAAAACCATTAGAAGATTTAAAAGATATGTACAAAAAAATAAATAAAAAAAATAAAAGATATGTACAACCCAAATAGCTAAACTTCTCATTTGTTAACCACATTTCCAAGTAATAGGGTGGATGCAGAGCAACAGATACACTGCTAGTAAGAAAGGTAAACAGAAACCAGCACTTTGTAAAACTGCTTGGGCCCATCTACTAAAACTTAAGAGATACATGCAACAACCCAGCAAGTCTACTAGATACACACCTAACAGAAGCAGATACAGATATTCAGAAGAGTTCATAGCAATGCTATTTGAAATAGCCAAAAACTCCAAACAATTCATACATCCATCAGTAACGGGTAAATCAACTTTGGTATTTTCATATAACTGAGTACTGTATAGCAACAAAAACAATGAAAAGCAACATGCAACAACAAATAATTTATCTAACAAGATGTTGAACAAAAGCAGCCAGCCAGCCAGCCACACACACACATCACAAAATGTAAGATTCCACACAAATAGAGTTCACAAGCAAGCATGTCCAAGGTATGGTGATAAACTAAGACACTGATTATATGTGGACGCTACTTGTAACATTCTTTTGTTCTTAATCAGGTTAGTATTTACAAGACTGTGTCATTAATGATTTGTGCACTTTTCTGTATGTATACTGAACTTCCCAAAAAAAAAAGTTTTGAGGAAGAAATGTCAAATTAGATTTTTAGACAGAAGAGAAGTTGTCGATGATTTAATTATTTTCAAATAGACACAACACATACCTAAGAGTCTTTAAGAGATTCTGATTATCAGCCTATCATCACTAAAACCAAAAACGGCTTTTGAACTCTTGAGCACCTAGGTGAAACCTGCTCAAACTGCCTAAAAATCTGGTATAACATTTTCTTGATGTATTTTCTTTGTATGATGAGGATAGTGCAAGCAGCAAAACAGTATGTCTATTTAAAATCAATAGAATCCCAGTTAGATATTGCCCTGAGAATAGCAAAGTCTGGACCAGGTAAGTTGAATATACTCAAAAGCCATGCAAGAAAAAAAAAAGTCTCGTCTAGTCCTGACCTTATTATACTGCCACTCAAAAGTAACTACATTTTTTAAAAAAGTAACTACATAGAAGTCAGAAGTAGGGAAAACATTACTGCTGCTGGTAAGTCACTTCAGTTGTGTCTGACTCTGTGTGACCNAGGAGAGAGAGCAATCTGGCCAGTAAATAATTCCCTATGTGCTCTCCACAGTCTGGAACACTCAGAGAGGTTCACGGAGTTACATAGAGAAGAGAAGAGGGAGGAAGGAGATAGAGGTGACCAGGAGGAGAGGAGGGGGAGTCAAAAGGAGAGAGACCAATCTAGCCAGTGATCAGTTCACTAAGTATTCTCCACAGCCCAGAACACCCAAAGAGATTCACAGAGTTAAGTAGAGAAGAGAAGGGGGAGGGAGGAGATAGAGGTGACCTAGGGAAGAAAAAGGAGAGTCAAAAGGGGAGACAGCAATCAAGCCAGTAATCACACTCCTAAGTAAAAATGGGTACTGAAGATTGGCTTCTTAAAGGTACAAAATTGGTAACAAATACCAAAAAGCAAAGATTAAAAATCTAGAGTAGAGGTTAAACTCTCAAAAATACACTATTAAAAAAACAAAATAAAATTGCAAAAGTTAAAGTAAAAATATATATGAAATTTGCTTTAAAAATAGTGTCTTTTTTTGGCAAGGTATTAGTAGGTTTTAAAAATGAAATTTTTTTTCCATTTATTTTTATTAGTTGGAGGCTAATTACTTTACATCATTGCAGTGGTTTTGGTCATACATTAAAATGAATTAGCCATGGATTTACATGTATTCCCTATCCCGGTCCCCCCTCCCATAGCACTGTATATAAAAATGAAAATTAAAGGGTAATAAAAAATGTAAAAATAAAAAAATTGAAAAATGATAATAGTAAAATATATCTAGGAATTTCTCTGGAGCTGTTGAGGGCAGTGTGGAGTCAGTTCAGTTTCAGATAGTTCCTTGTTTCAGTTTATACTTCTCAAGGTCTATAAGTCCCTTCCAATGTAGTCAATGCTAAAACTACAGAGCTTTAATCTGTTGTACCTGTCACTTCCAAAGCCATTCCCTCTTCTCTGTTTATTTTGGTTTCCTCTGTTTGCAAGTCTCTTCAGTGTCTAACTTCCACCCTGACACAAGGGGGCAAAGGTGGTCACTTATTTAGGCTCGCTGTTCAGTCGTGCTGCGGGGAAGGAAGAACACTGCAAATATCACTGGCATGTGTGAGGAGTGCTTGCAGTGTCTGGGCCACACTGGGTTTCCCCCGGCTCACAGCGTGTGTGCTTTCCCAGTCTACACTGCTCAGGCCCCAGGTTGCCCTGCAGGGGGCCTGTCTAAAGCAGGCCCTGGGTTGTGTGCACTTCCCAGGTCTAAGCCACTCAGGTTCAGGTTCTCAGGTATCTCTTGACTTCCTACTTTTGCATTCCAGTCCCCTATGATGAAAAGGACATCTTTTATGGTATTAGTTTTAGAAGATCTTATAGGTGTTCATAGAACCATTCAACTTCAACTTCTTCAGGATTAGTGGTTGGGGCATAGACTTGGATTGCTTTGATATAGAATGGTTTGCCTTGGAAAT